TACTGGGGACTCAACCGGCGTGCCATTGTTTGTTTTTCTTTTTTGTCTTGCAGCACAATAGCTGAGGTGTTTTCCACCTCCAGCTCATATGTAATGATGACCTCGATTTTTTAGAATCATTTGACCGGGTTAATCACGCAGTCCTCTGAACTAAAATACCTAGTTTGAGGATTGAGCAGTAAACAATCTTCTGGTTAAGTACCTACCTGTCCTGGCGCACCTACCAAGTTCGTGTAATTGGCACACTCCATTACTCTGGCTGCGACAACCGGAGTGCCCAAGAAATCTATCCTCTGGCCCCTGCTGTTCACTTTGTTCATTCATGGCCTACCATCTTCAAACACTTACGGATTCTAGTGTCTGCTCGCCGTTTGTAAAAAGATCAAGACAACTTGCCAGTTATCCAGGAAGTTGTCTTGTTGGTTGTCCGATTTATTGCACAGCGCTCATCTCTGTCATCATGTTAACAAAAGTGGATCCAAAGATGCTACTGCCATGTAAGGTACTATATTGTAACCGATCAACGCGGAAAATTAAAGTCGCCTAGCAGCATGAAATTGCGACAGTTCAAGCGCTGCTGCACAGCTTCGATCCAATCACAAAAAGTATGCGCCGGACTTCGATAGACCGCACCCACGCTCATTTCATTCGGTCCAACAGTTGCCAGTCGAAACGTGCGCTAAGGATACTGTGTGGTCGCCCGGTCCCCTACACCAGCTCGAACTCCTGACCTCCGGATTACAATTGTTGCTTGCAATCCTTTTGGCCACGAGCCGGCTCATTGGTGTCTGTTCTCTGCTCCAAATCCTCTACGCAATGGACTGCCTCAGTTTATGTACTTTTACTGGCTGTTACCCAGATGAATGCGGGCTGTCCATTATCTACTGTGTTTTTCACTTTATTTGGGCACGCGTGCAAAGTTGGTTAACATTTAGCCCTTTAATGTATAAACTAATGCTGTTGGTTGTTTATTGCATTCTCAACGTAGTCTTGATCTAGACCCTACCGGAACCCCCAAGCTAGTTGTATGCTTTTTGCCGCTGCTTTATAGTGCCAATTTGCCCTAGACTAAGGATGTCTTCCTTTGGTGAAGTTCGCGGATTTCGGAGGCGTCTTCTGATGAACATCCTTAATAACTTACCCCCACATGACTTACGAGATACGTAAGTGCGGATTATCGATGCTAGACGAATTTCAGCACGATATTTTGTGTGATTCATCTTATTAGCATGTTGTATTATCTTCAGAAAGCGTGTGAGAAAGACTTCTTGCCTCGTGTAATCTTGTGTCCATCAGGAAGCAAAGTAATGGGCTACAGCGAATGTCTTCTGTGTATCCCACAACGAGTGGCTTAAGCTAGTACTGTCCTATCTTTCCTCTTGCCTTGTGATCAAAGTGCTCATGACTCTATCCTCAGCCTATACTAGAGCTGAAGCTGCGTCTAGTGACCAGCTGAAGACCTAGGAGTACGAGAGCGACATAACTTTAGTCCGTCCAAGTCAGTGTACTATCGATATTGAATAGATTAACGCAGAACGTAGTGTGCTTCAGCACGTGCTTAGCGCCTTCCAAATGCATTGTGTATTCGCAGCGTTGACCCGCGAAATCACCAATTCTGATTGCCAGCCGATTGACCTATCTTGGCAGTTCTTTTTACCTCTGATGACCACACTGTATAGCAAAGTCTGTGTGACTTTCCTATTTCTCAGCTGTTTATGGGTGCAATGGGATACTATCCCATCGATCAGCAGCGGGAGGACTTGTGTTATTTTGTGCATGACGAACATAGTCACCACGTGTCGAGACTTTCAAAAATCTGGTCGTCTTGAATCACTCATGCCTACAATGTATCTCTCATATATGGTTGGTACACCCGATGAATGATACAGAAATTTGCAATTTGGTACTTGACAACAGGTCTTCTGATTTCGCACAGGCTTACTCGCTATGCCTGGGCCACCTGTGTTTGGCTGGGCCTTGTCTGTTGACTGTCCATATCGGTTTTCATTGTTCCCCATCGCTCCATCTAGCTAGGCGAAACTGCTGGGTGATCATCCTATAACGTTGGGGGGGGGAGAGCTTTAGTCAAGCTATATGGGGCCTCACTTTTCTGCCACACCGATAGTTTAGTAACTTATCGGACGCAACTCAGTAACAGAGTCGGTAGCGCTCTTACAGTTGATCTCTTGTATCCACCTGGCTAATTTGACCTCCCTTTTTGTCTAACCATATTTTCTTTATGCCTCGCTCGCGTTCAGTCATATTTTCCCCACTGCTAACTTACACTCATGGTATCGTGACTCATCGCAACTGGATCCACCGCGATTCGGTGACCGAATCAGATCTATTCGACAGAAATAAGTTGAAATTTTTACTGAGTTGTTTCAGCAGCTCACAAACTAGCTAATCTAACCACGAGTCAGGAGTGGCACCAGGCTGCCGCTTCGCCCCATTAAGGCTTACCACTGTTGCACATTCTCTTCAACCGCCTACACGAACCGAACCCGTCACTGCTAGCAGCTTGCGCCAATTAGCCAGCAGCTTGCGTCACCTAGTCATGGGATACGGTGATAGGCTATCACAACTTGCAACCTAACTGGGATATAGTGCGACCTTCGAAATGAGTTGAACTGGTTGTTTTACCACTGACCAGAAACACGTGTCTTTTGAGTTGGTATGCTGTACCTCGACAAGAAATCAACTGCACTATATTTATCTGCTCATTCACTTACACTGGTTCCATACACCTTGTTCTCGCGATTGATGCCATACCAGCAAATGATGGACCAGATTGGTGACAGACATTCATTGTAAAGCAAGTATGTTCCCACAAACCAGTCATATAAATGAATTGAGGGTGTTGTTGTACTCCGTCCCTATCACTGCATAATTGCAACACTATTTAAACGAATATATAAACGGTATATTCCTATACAGTATTAGTCACAGTCCAACAGAATAGTCATATAAATAACTGATGCGTTCATTCTTGCGCGGTATATCGAACGAAGGTTCCTGGATAACCTTCGTTCTCATTGTCGGCCGGTAGTCGAGTGGTCTGCACGCTGGACTTGCAATCATAAGGTTACCGGTTCGTATCCGCGTAGAGGCAGGGCGACGCTTGCAGTATCGTTAGCCCACATGCGACCGGTGGTTGCGCGGCAGCGAAGCGCGGCCGGTACTGCGTACCGGCGTACGGCTGATACCTTTTCGTTCTCATTTTATAGTCACCTAAGCCCTATTTGGTGTACTTACACTGATCCCTTGGAAATCCATCGCAGGGGAATTGTCAGTTTGTTTGCTTGCCTATTCCCCATAAGACCGTTATTTTCTTCAAGTGAAAATAAACAACAAGCTATGAAGTACCGTATCCCTCCGCAGTTTTTCCCAATGTTTCCCTTTCGCTCTCTATTTCAGCCTTTGGAATCACTTTGTTACGATCCGTTTGCTTCACGTGTCATTTGCCGCTCGTTTTCACTTTTTACTGAAGTTTTCGCTGCGCGTGTCACGATGTATAATCTTGTCTGCTTGAAGCGGTCACTTGTTCGCTTTATCTTAACGATCTTACTGCAACACATGAGACCATTCTCCCCTCTTTCATAGTCCATACGGTGATCGCTTATGACTCCGAAATGCATGAGGCGTTTTTGCCCATCTGTCTTCTGAGAAACTATCCATACGCATTGGAATGCTTGACTTGCTACGACAATTTCCTTCTCGTCGGTACCAAGCAGGGCTTGCTGCTTGTATACGAAATTACTCCGAAATCTCTCAGTCATCCTGTTTATTTTATTCCCTCGATCAATCCTCGGCCGATTTCCAAAAAGACTGTACGCTTGAGTCTGAGAAATGACATTCTTGAGCAACCCGAAGCCCCAGATCCACATGCGTTGCCCGCAGCGGCTCCCATATTTTCAACTCGAGTCCACACAACGCGAACATTTGGCCGAAAGCCAATTTTGCAGCTGGCTGCCATTCCCGAATTGGATTTGTTGTTAGCTCTAGCTGAGGGTCAGATGAACGTGTATCAATTGCAAAACTGTCAGCTGATCGCCACCGTTCCAACAAGCAAGGGAGCAACAGTCTTTGCATATTACTATTCACTTGGTAAAGGTAGGCTTATATTTTTACCTGCGTTTGAATTTCCTCTTATTTCTCTTTTTCGAAGAGATATTTGTCTCATTGACTTTACTCCCCTCTCTTAAGTGTGGTTGCACCAGGCCCCATGCTGAGGTTGATGTTAGATCTATTATGCTTCTTCACTGCAGTTGTGCCTGAGTGAACGCACATAGTTTGTTCCACGTTACCTTAGATCTGAATGTATCCATTTTATTTTATTCGCTCAGTTTGGTTAATCATCCTCATACTCCGCGTTTGTTTTGCGCTTTATTATCTCTTCCACTTTCTGTGTTAACCGATTATTATCCTCCAAATTACACTTGGGCTTTTCCTAGATCACCCGTATACGCGATCAGAATGAATACACCTTTTGAATTGTTCCTGCATTGTTCATCGCGAGCACTAATTTCTGACACGGCATCCGTCGGAAGGTGACATGGCGGCCACCAGCCATGAACGCAAATCGATCACGTCGCGATCAGTTATCGCTGGAGAGGATGCTTCCAAAACTGTCGCTCAGTTTGGATCACATGTGTGGACACTGACTGTGCACTTATATGTGCTGATCTGCGGGTGCGTTTTGGCGATCGCCCTCGACGCCCCTGTGAGTGCATAGACGCCAGGCAATTGGCGAAGTCAGATGTTCTGAATACCTATCGACATACGCTGGCGTTCGGGTTGAGCAAGCGCCCACTGAATACGGTGGAAGCTCACTGGTCGTATGTTCACCGGACTTTACTAGCAGCAGGTAAATCGTCGTGTTTTAAATCCGCTCACCAAAATAGACGTTGGGTCTCCTCGCACTCTCTGGAACTTCTCGATGTTCGACAGCACATTCCGGCTGGCAGCGAGCACAACGAGACTCGCAAAGACATCAGGGCAAAACTCCGTGCTAGCCTGAAGAGTGACCGAGAATCCTGGTGGTCTCATCGTGCGTCAGAGATGGAAGTGGTCGCTGCCCCTGGTAACCATCGAAAGTTATTCCGTCTGATACGAGAAACGGGCAGCATGAGACCTGGTGTTAGTGAAACAATTTGTGACGAGAATAGACAGCCTATCTACAACTTGTCAAAACGCTTGGAGCGTTGGGCTGAGCACTTTGAACGGCAATTTAATCTGTCGGAGTTGACAGATTTTTCACCGACCACTGATCGCCCTACTCCGTGGCTGTCGCTTTGGATCCTCCCTGTCGCTCAGAAGGCGAACGTGAGATCAGACTATTGAAACTGAATAAAGCCGCGGAACTAGATGATTTTCATCCAGCCATCTTCCAATTTGGGGGCCCTGCTTTTGTTGATGATTTATGCGAGTTACTAGGGAAACTGTGAGTGCAGGAAACTGTCCCGACCGACTGGAGCCGCTCCGTTGTTGCCCCGATCTTCAAAGAAGACTCGCGTTCGGAATGCGGCAACCATAGAGGAATCAGTCTGATCCCCATCGCCTCCATATTGCTTGCCTCTGTAATCCTTCACAGACTGACTGATACTCATGAAATCCAGATTCGTGAGGAGCAAGCAGGGTTTCGTGTGGTCGGGGTGGCATCGACCACATCTTCACTTTGCGTCAGTTGTTGGTGCACCGTCACACTGTCATCAAAGGTGCCTACGATTTGTTAGATGGATGTGCCCTGTGCGACTGTTTGCTAAGGCAAGGTGTACCCGAGAAGTATGTAAATATTATGCGAGCGTTTCACGCGCGTAGCTCGGGAAGAGTGAGGATTTACGGCAAGCTGTCGCCGCCCTTCAATATCTCCAGCGGTGTAAAACAAGGATGCTTGCTGTCACATTTCCTCTTCAGCTTCGCTATTGACGAAGTCATAGAGATCGTGTTCACAGGACACGACTTTGAAAGTGTGGAGTTGCTCCTAGGTGAACGACTTCTTGACTTGGAGTATGCCAACGATATTGCCTTCATCTATGACGGCTCACAAATGGGCCAAGCGGCACTGGACCGGTAAGCACTGCCTGTCAACCATTTCAAGCTATGCTTTGCACCCTCGAAGTGCATAGCTCCTCCAAGATTGCTAAGGACCGCCTTCTGTGCTGACCCTTGGTGAGGATCAGTTAGAAGTCATCCAAAAATTCAACTGTTTGGGTAGTTGTATCAGCGCCGTTGGTATTGAAGACGAGATCACAAACCGTATTGAGAAAGCACGAGGCGCTCTTGCTAACTTTCGCTACCTATGGTGCCGATGCGACATCATTCCCTGAAGGGTAGGGTGTACAATGCAGCTGTACATTCGACCCTACTGTACGGTTGTGAAACCTGAACCATTAGATCAGCCGACATAAAGAGGCTAGTTATGCTCGACTACCCGGGCCTTCAGTTGTGATCATATCTGCTGGAAAGACCGTGTGAGCAATGGGCGTGTTCGACGCCTTGTTTATGGCACAGGAAAAGGAAATGAACCACTCAGCACCGTTATTTCATGCACCAGGCTCCGATGGCTGGGCCGCGTGTTGCGCATACCAGCCCACCGGCTGCTGCAGTCTGCGTTGTTTGCGCGCCGGTGTGTGGATGGAAGAAGAGGAGGGGTGACCAAGCGATGACTTGTTCAAGAGGAATGAAGGCCCTTACTTCGAAGTTGGCTTCGGTTGGAGTCTATCGGCCCCTGGTTGGGACCGAAAACGATGCACACGTTTGGCTGGATACCCTTGTTGACATGGCTAGAAGCCGATCTCAGTAGCGTTTGTGTTGTTTTGTCTCTTTCCCTCCCGCTCAGCCTCCTCCTTCCAACCACGATCTCCTTTATTAGGCTTAATATAACTTTTTTGTGGCACAATAGCCGGCTGTTAGATCTCCGGAACGATGCCCACCGGTTTCCTATGAATCGGCCGGCGTGCCTCTGTCTCATGTATTTTCCTTACTTTTTTACTGCGGCACAATAATTGAAGTGTTTTCCATCCGCAGCTAACGTGTATAGTGAATGTTGATGATCTCTGCCACTCCACTGAGACTACGATGGAACGAAACTATTGTGCCGTTCCTTTCTGATTCTTTGATAACTGCTTGACTCTTAACGATTCCATTTATTTACTTGTTTAAGAATATCATCGACTCCCTTTAACGCTCACCGTTATCTGGGCAGTTGGCATTCAATCAAGACTGACACTTTCTATTCGTCTACAGCTTCCTCAACACAAGCTGGTGTGTGGATGCTGCTATGCTTCTCGTTATTGAATCCGACAATTGCACACTATTAATGGGTCACCAGTGACGGTGACATTTGAGTTAGCTCAAGGTATCAATACTTTGTCATGTTACACACAACGTAGGTCCTCATTGCACACTTACATACGTATTTCTCAGTCCTTTACTCTCGCTGCTGTTCTGGGTAACCCAGCTTTTGGTTCTTGTTTGTTGTACTCATGAGTAGGAGGATTTCAGTTGTATAATAATTGAAATACCTTGTTTCCTAAAGAACTGATTTTGTTCTCTTTCGAGCCCTGGTATTTCTTTTCACTGTTCATCAACTGACGTAGATCTCGCGGAAAATCAGTCTTGCCTCTCCGGCTCCGATTCTGGTACTTCTCACAACCCCTCCAGTTATTTTACTGGGGCTAAATTGTACATTTGTGTCGGTGTGAAACGCCGCTTATTCTTTTGGCGTTGGGACTTCCTCGGTCAAAAGTGTGTTCGTCCCGGTGGTCCCGAGGATCGTTTGTCTTGTGATTGGTCACCGGAGCTTACTCTGTCAGATACCGCGCGAGTTATGCAGTTTCAAGGCCCAACTCACCTGATCGTGGGCACACGAGCTGAGTACTGTCAGGTCACCTTATCCACTGGCGAAGTAAGCATATTTGCCTGTCTGCATTCGATTTTTGATTGACTAGTTGATCTCTTCACCTATTTCCATCATCTTATGAGTCATATAAATACAGATGTGTTTTTCACTGGTTGAACGGTTTATCCCCGTGGCCGTAGCATCTTCCTTAACTAAAGCCTCGAGGATACCGGGTGGATGTGATACGCCCGCTTTGTCGTTCAGTGTTTGAATCACATACGGAGGCAGCGGGTTTCCCACCATCGATTAACAACAATTTGTTCAAATCTGCAGTTAGGCCAGCGTTATTATATACGCCAGGAATTTGACCACTGAATTCTGTGAAAATTAGGGAACTGGTCGTTTTTGACTCGGATTTATCCACACGACATCGCTCTCAGGTTTGATGAAACTTCCGAGTGTTTACCCCTTCACACATCATCATCATTATACACGTTAGCTGGAGGTGGAAAACACCTCAGCTATTGTGCCGCAATACAAAAGACAAGAAAAGGAAAACAAACAGTGGCACGCCCGCTGAGTCCCCAGTAACGCATGGACATCGTTCCGGAGAGCTAACAGCTGGCTGCCGTAAAAGAGAGTCATATTATGCCTAACAAGTGAGATCATGATTGGAGGGGGATGCTAAACAGGAGGGGGATGGACAAAGGAACTCACAACACAAACGCCATTGGGGCCGGCTCCAAGCCATATCAGCAGGTGTGTCCAACCAAACGCGTTCACCATCCGTAGGACCCCAGCCAGGCAATCGGGATGCACCAACCGACGCCAACTTCGAAGTGAGGGTTTTCATCTCTCTCGACCAAGTCATCCCTTGGCCTCCCCTCCTCCTCTTCCAACCGCACCCACAACGCGCAAACAATGCACGTCGCGGGAGTCGGTGTGCTGGCATGCGCAACACGTGGCCCAGCCATCGGAGCCTGGTGCGTGATATAATGGGGCTGAGCGGTTCACTCGCTCTTCCTGCACCAAATACACGACGTCGAACACGCTCATTACTCACGCGGTGTTCCCACCAGATATGCGCTAAGCTGCGAAGGCAACAGTGATCGAATGTGACGAGCCTCTTCATGTCTGTCAACCTGATGGGCCAAGTTTCACAGCCATATAGGAGAGTTAAACGGACAGCTGCTTTGTAAACTCTGCCCTTCAGGGCGAAAGTAATGTCGCGTCTGCGCCACAGGTGGCGGAGATTGACAAAAGCACCTCGAGCTTTTGCTATACGGTTTGTAACCTCATCTTCAATCCCACGGGTGCTAATATAGCTGCCCAGGTACTTGAATTCCTGAACGACTTCTTGCAGATCACCACCCTTTCGCACACAATGTGTACATATGTGCACACGAATAACAATTTAGAATATTATACGCAAACCTGCACATACTCTCATTTGCTTAATTGACCATCAAAATCCATTAACTATGTTAGGAAATCTGGTACATCACTAGCAACCCAATAAAATTTTGGGATCAAACTTTTTGCCAGTATTCGGATGGGTAAAACATCAACTTTTCTGGCGCTACACATGGTTGCCTCTTGCATTTACGTGATTAAGTCAAGTCAAGAATGTGCTTTGTGGCCCCATGAATGGCGAATATTCAGCAGGCTTACCTTTCTCGCGCTTCTGCCGGTCGTCCATTTGGGCAAGTGTTGTTTCCCAACATTGCGTCTTACCATCTAAGGCCACATAATGGTTGATGTGGCAAAATGTTGCAAGAAGAGCGAATGAACCTCTCAGCACCGTTATATCACGCACCAGGCTTCGATGGCTGGGCTACGTGGGGCGCGTACCAGCACACCGCCTCTCCCAATGTACGTTGTTTGCGCGCCGTGGATGTATATGGAAGCCATCAGCATCATCATTATACACGTTAGCTAGAGGTGGAAAACACCTCAGCTATTGTGCCGCAATACAAAAGACAAGAAAAGGAAAACAAACAGTGGCACGCCCGCTGAGTCCCCAGTAACGCATGGACATCGTTCCGGAGAGCTAACAGCTGGCTGCCGTAAAAGAGAGTCATATTATGCCTAACAAGTGAGATCATGATTGGAGGGGGATGCTAAGTAGGAGGGGGATGGACAAAGGAACTCACAACACAAACGCCATTGGGGCCGGCTCCAAGCCATATCAGCAGGTGTGTCCAACCAAACGTGTTCACCGTCCTTAGGATCCCTGGTGCGTGATATAATGGTGCTGAGCTGTTCACTCGCTCTTCCTGCACCAAATACGCGACATTGAACACGCTCATTGCTCACGCGGTGCTCCCACCAGACATGAGCTAAGCTGCGAAGGCAGCGATGATCGAATATGACGAGCCTTTTTATGTCTGTCAACCTGATGGGCCAGGTTTCATAGCAATATAGGAGAGTTGATGTGGATGGAAGCAGTAGAGGGGAATCCAATCGATGCCATTGTCAAGCGGAATGAACACTTTCACTTCGAATTTGGCCTCCGTTGGTGTCTTTCAGCTGCCGGGCTGGGGTCCGAAATACGCTTGACACGTAGACATGGCGAAGAACCGATCTTAATGGCGTTTGTGTTGTAACTTTCTCTGTCCCTCCCTCTTCACCCCGCTTATCTTTCCCCTCCAACCACAATCTCACTTTGAGGCAAAATATAATGCCGTGCCTTATATTTCTTGTTTTTGGTCTTTATTTTGTACTCTATAATGTTTTATATGTCGCTTTTCATATCTATGTAAGTTTTGTGGCACGCCAGCTGGGGTGTTTCTCACGTTTAGCCAATTTGTAGTGGGGGTAGCGGTGATGCTGCTGCTGCTCATCATGATGATGATGATGACGACGATGATGATGTAGCAAGTGCATTTTTGTGAGGTTATATGTCTTTTTGGATGAGGCTTGTAGTGTATTTGCAATTCCACCTTTTTAGGTAGTGTGCACATATCCGGAAATACACTGCGTGGTCGCTCCGTATTCTCCGGATTCATCATCAACCACAAAAATGGTAACATATCAGTGGATTATCTTGATGCCTTCTTGTGATGCATCTATAATGATCTTACTAAGGGAAAATAATAATAGGCGAAGGGAAGCGGAATCTGATGAAGTATGATGAAGTGTGTGCGTGTGTGTGTGCCACCTTACGCCTTGTGAAAATACGCATTCACGTGCAATTGGCCACTATGTGGGAATAAGGTGGCATCGGCTACATGGGCAATCTTGACTCTCAGATATCCCGACGTCGTACGCACTTTAAACAGGTGGTTCGACTGAAAAAGTCGCTGCTGACGGATCAACAGTACTCAAACCATTGATTACCCAATACATTTCCCGATAGACTCCATTAAAGCTTATACCGTTCTAGCCGATATGAAAAGCGGCCATCTTCCTCAATCAGTGGGAGGTCTCATGAATCATAAGTGAGTATGGGGTAATTTACTGTCACGCAATAGGCTTGTAACCGACTGGGATTTCATGGTTTCAGATTTTGACTACAAATCGGTTTTCGTAAGTTTTATTGTGGCAACGTTTCGCATCCACCGAGAAACGAGCCTGAATACAGGGCCCCACTAAGAGATGCGGCGGTGGCCGTACGCGTGCTAGGCACGGGACACGAAATTGACTGGGACAGTGTTGCGATAATTAAGTGAGGGTTACGAGCAACAAGGCAAAGGTTGATTTCTGAGGCTGTTGAGATTACTAAGACTAATAACCGTATGAACAGAACGAACGGTGTGTTTTCGAACACAGGACGGGCTCTCTTAACCCGGTCAGTCCGAATAGGTGTTGGCGGACGGACTCACGTCGGAGCGTGAATCAGCAGCAGCAGAAACAGGAATGTCTCGTGTGTGAACGACTGGTAACCCGGATCAATGAGGAACGCTTAATACTTTTTGTTACTCTAGAATGGCTACTTGACCTATTGACCTATGGCACTGTTATCCAATTGTTCGTGTTATTTCTTGCAATCTTCACCCTACTTTCTTATAAATGGCTAATTCAATTGTGTACCGATTCACCTGGCCTGTAGAAGCTATTGCGTCAAGTGCGAAACGTTACCATAATAAAAAAACCTACAAAAACCGATGTGTATTCAAAACCCTCGGGAATCATTGGTGCAGCGTAATCTATGTGGTAATCACATCTAGACCCAGTCAGACCGCCATGACACGCCCAGGAAAGCACCGGACGGCCATTTCCTCCTTTCGGTATTCGTCACCATTGTGCATTCCATTCGTCTTGTGAGGTGCTTTAGCACGCGGAAAAGTTAATGGCATGGTCGTTACCTATTTCACTGAACATCGCTTTTGCGTCATATACTACGGATACCTCAGTTTTACAAGAATAGTTTGGCAGCTTTTTTGTTTCAATTATTTCCAAGGTCACTAAGACCGCCCCACTATATCCACATTTTGCTACAATGGTTAGGATACTTCACATCATTCCCGATTTATTTCTTTTGGACACGGAAGTTTACGTCCACTAAGACCGACTATGAAGAAAGGTTTTCATAAAGCTCTGCTCTGTTTATTGAATGCATGTATGTATCAGTAACCGTCTAGATAATAGACATTGATCCATCGAGAAACCATGGAATGCTTGCGTTTACTATCTACAAAGATCAAAAAAGATAATACACAATGAGAATATTTTATTTTCACACGTCGTTTTGTCAGTTTAATGACTGCGGCTTTGATATGTAGAATCAGTGCAAAGACTCGTGCAAGATTTCCATTGTCTGCGATTGCGCGTCATGTCCTCAAGTATTTCCAACCAGCGAAGTTCTTCATCTCTGACTCCCCAGCCCGGAGGACGTACGGGGTCCACAATAGCTAGACTGGAAATTAACGCTTTGACTTTTTGTTGCCATGTGAAAGGTTGGTCACCGCGCAATGTCTTCCAGTGCGGCCCTGTTGGAGCGAATAGAGCGCGCCGTGGTAAACGCATGAACGGCCTGTGTAGGACCTGACTCAGCCACCTCAGTTGGCGCAGCGATATTAGCTTGTCGAGAGATAGGCCTGTATTACCAAGGACGCGACATCCAACATCGACGTTGTTAACCTGGTGTTCCCACCACACACGGG